AAAAAAAAAAGAATACTTCAACTGCCTGCTGCTGATTAAGAGAACGAGAGCACAGAAATTCAAAAAAATAGGCAGTCGAATAAAGAGATGCTCCCTACCTGAGTTACAAAGCTGTGAGCACCAGTGAGTCCCTCTTCCTCCCCAGTATTAAACAAAAATATAACACCATTCTTAAATCCATGAGCCCACTGAGAAACCCCACGAGCAAGTTCCAACATAACCGCAACACAAGAACTGCAATCTCCAGCTCCTTCCCTGAAAGTTGCATGACACTTTTTTAACCAACATTAACATAGAATGATTTAGTTATGCACAAGAATGTTTTTACAAAAACAAATTCGAAACACCATACATGACTCTAAATCGAACAGAAAGGGACAAAGACATAAGCTTGGATGGCTGAAAATTGGAGAACAAAACAAATTTTGGATGAACAGTTATAAAAAAAAATCTACGTGTATTAGGATAGCGTAAATTTTGGTGTCTATAGTTCATACAACTAAGATACCAATACTTAATTGCTTATAGCAGGCAACGAGCTAGAGATGCATATCACCAGAAGCAATAAATAAAAGTGGAACGGATGAATGATGATCGTGGTGATTGCATTCACATAAACTATTACACAATTTGAGACTAAATAGATACGGAAGCATACGCTGAGAAAACGGTGTCAATGTGAGAGGAGACGAGGATCGTATTTTCTGCTGCGTCAGACACATATTTTGGCAAGATTCTTAAGATGACATGATTTAGATCTGAATAAACAAGAGTTCTTCCTTTAAACAAGCCACCAACCAGACAAGATACTCCAGTTTTTGCATTGAAAAGTTCCACTTGAACATCGACCTCCCAGTGAGCCGTCTTCTTGATCTCCTCTGATGCTGCCAAAACATACTGCAATGGAGTACAAGAAAAACAACTAGTTATATAAAATAATTGGAAAAGAAAGATTCACTTAATAACAACAATCGAAATAAATTATATAACAGATAGAAATTACACAGGCGGGAATTCATGCATTTGTACAAAGAAAACCAAGATGACAATCAAATTCAAGGGGAAAAAACCACAAACAGAATCAAAATAAATAAATAAATATACATATATACATACATATATATATATATAAGAAATACAAAACCTTGCATCCATTATCCAAGACAATTTAGGAACGTACAACACTGCTCCTCTCTCTGACTAATGAACACCTTGCCCTTTTCTTTTCTTTCTTCTTCTTCTTCTTTTGTTTTTTTTGTTTTTTTATTTTTTTTATTTTTAAATAAAGAAAAAAAGTTATAAGAATAGAGGGTGGTGTATCTCGATAATACGGGGAGGCAGGGCATCCCTTGTGGCACATGAAAGCCTCCCCGTGACACATGGATCCTTCATGAAGTCGATTGTCGGTGGGATTGACTTGAACTTAAAAGAGGAGATCGAGTAGTCTTACCACATTACCAAGTAGTATTCATTGACCAACTAAACAATGACTATAAAATAAAACATTGATACCACGAGTGCCAACATCACTATTTACCACAATAATAGCTATAAAAACAACGGCCACTTGGGGCTAGCTAAAGTCGTCGGGTGCATGTATCCACCAGAGTTTGAATGCTCGATTCAGCATAAGGTTGGGATCTTTCTTTCCTAAAATAAACTTTAATATAGTAAAACCAACAACAACAACAACATTTCAATAACTAGGTTCAGACTCACACTTTGGTAGTTATCTAATCCTCCAAAGCACTGCATATTTATGAAGTACCAAAACAACAGAACATGAATAAACTCCACCTATTTATTCCCGAGTGACAGCCCAGTCTGTTGATAAGTTACTCATCTAATCATGAGAATTCACAATTGGAGACGCAAAACACAAACATGCTACGTTAATTTTACCGA